CTGCAAGGCGAAGACCATGTACACGTACATGGAATGTCTGTATCAAAGTTATCCTGAAACCTGTTGTTTACTGACAGGACAAGACGCCGTTTGAATGACAAACTGTCGGACTTGACGCTGCAACTCCCAAGACCCCAATTGGCGTTTCTAGTTTATTCCATTCAGCCACTAGTCGGGGGATGTACGACATTTGATACATACTGCCCCTATTTAGACTAGTGGATAATGACATAGTTCTGCTAGTTCTCTAAATCATATGCATTGGCCAAGGACTTCACAAAAAGCATAATGCCAGCAATCTATCTCCTATACGAAAGCGGTCACCGCTTTCGCACAGGAGATAGATTGCTGGCATTATGCTTTTACCGGGTAGCAGGTTGAGATACTTTAATCTGCCCTTATAGTCGAGGGAAATAGAACGAGCGTCTGCGTTTGCACTTACAATGAGCCTGGTTGCCCACCTCTGCACACCCTCCAACAGGTCCATTAGATTGTGGGACAGAGGTGACTAAATCTGACTGCAGTATTCTAATGGTCTAACCAGTGTTATATATAGGGATTTGCGTACCATCAGACTGAATTCGTAACCAACAGTGCGTATGTACGTATACTTCAATAATAAACCTGTCTACTACCATTTTTACTTATGCACTTCTGTCGCCAATAACTTGTTTACGGAAAACGTTTTGGCACAACAAGCGTCATCAACATACTTTCTGTATGCAAATGAAGCGTCATCAACATACGTTCTGTATGCAGATGAAGCAATAAAAATATAGCTAGTGAGCACCTTTTAAGTGACACCCCAGGGCGACTGTCTCGCCGAAAGCTGCGCCGGTTGAGTCTAACCTGGGCCGCTAGTCCACACCTGGTGCCCCGCTCCATGCTACTACACGTACATAAGATGGTTCCGAACCACGTAAACAGGAATGAAAGTATTGATTAAAAAATAAAAAAAAGTTAGAAAGTTCCAAACTTACCTTCTCAGCTAGATGACTATGGGATTGGGTGGGTGTGTGTGTGGAGAAGACAGGACCGTCTCTCGTCCCGATCACCCGTTGATCTGTGGCCTGCTCACAAGACTGTCACCTGCGCTCCTCTCCCTGTGGTCCGTTCCGCTTGAAATGTATTCCGCATAACAGTCAAGGGGAAGTTTCCTTATGCAGCTACTATGTCATGACGAAGAAATGCGACAAAAAAAAAAGACAGGTGTTGACCGAAGAGCAGTCCAAGCGTTTCCTCGTCACGACACACAGGCACCAGGTATGTAAAGCTGCGGGTTTTTACAAACTTACTGTCCCATATCTTAACTAGAGCGTGGAACACACGTCTTCGTCAGACACAGATTTGTTGTTGTTTATTAGATTTACTTCGTTTAAACTTATGTACAGGAAAAGAGCATTTTTGTTGGCGTTTGTATGTTTTTGGTGTGTGTGTATGCCCTTGTCAGATAGTGATCACAATACGTTCAGGTGGCTTCGTGGCAGTTGGAGGTTTTAACTTAACTTAAAAGTGAAGGAATTTCATTCTTGGGGTATTTGGAAGTTAAGTGAAGGTAAACATCATTAATTATAATCTATTCAAATACGGCCTTATTTGCATAATTAATAGATTGTTATTGGAGGGATTATAATCTATTCAAATAAGGGCCTTATTTGCATAATTAATGAGAATGGTATTGGGAGGGAATGCTAGCATGTTGTTCTTTGTTATTATATAATAAGGAACTGTATTTTGGTGGGCAATATGTTGGCATCGTGGTAAAGTACCTTCCCAAGGGCATTACTGGAGTCTGCCGGGAATTCGAACCCAGAAACGTCAGATTGTAGTTGATGCCATAGTACGTATAGAGACAATTGCAATTGTTCATATGTAAAGGTAAACCGATTTATTGAAAGGAAACATCTCGCATTCTACGGTTGTGTTAGTTGCGAATTTGAAACAAAGCTCGTCACAATACATCGGCAGACATTGGCATAATTCCAACTTAACATTCACTATGATTCTGAGGTGCCTTAAAAAGCAACAAGTCACAAAATAGCAATCAACATTATAACTACATTGATGAATGTGTGTAAAACGACTAGTCACTACATGTAATAACGACACTCAGACATTCAAAACTGAATTAGGCCACTGGACGGTCCTGTCAATAGCCACAGGCTATGCAGTTTGTAACTGCCATAAAACGGTATTGTGTGTCTAGAGGTTCTTGGTAATGTTTACATGGTGTAAAGTAGTATTGAATGACTGATAGAATGTCTGCAGGTTCATTAGAAACTCTATCATGTAAGATACGAATGTTTCACACTGGCCACAATGTAATGGGAAAAAAACTCATGAATGTAATCTTAGCTAGTACATATTATAGCGATATGCGCCAGTACATAAAGACTAAGTCACCAGATATATATATTTACAGTACCTTTATACCAAATAACCTTCTAATAATCTTATTACAAGACAGAACAAGACCCAAGCATTAATGACAAACTCAAGCATATAGAGACCGCAAAGTGACCAGAAGTGTCTTGGTCTACGGAAACTTAATTATCTTTCATAAAATCTTTTACTACCTTCATGGTTGTAGACCAAATACAGACGTTGTTACATATACAATATATATATATATATTTGATCGATGAAAAACTATTTCTCCCATAGGACACAAAAGAACACTAGAAAGGCCAATATTTGCTTTGGAGCAAATATAGCGATGGGTTCACCACATTTTACCACATGGCAGGGAAAGAATGAGAAACACAAGGGAAAACAATGCTTTACATTGATATAACTATAGTATGAAGTAACATACAACTAAGACTACAACAGTTGGATAGCTATTCCCTACATTATTGGTTAGGATTGCATAATGCAAACTGTTGATTTTCAAGATAAAAAGAAGCGTTCATAGCCCGCATTCCAATGCTGGAGCAGGAAAGCTTAAAATACCTACCAAAACACTTGAATACAGACATACTGTCAGTATGGCATGGCTCTGTGCAGGTGTAAATAGAAGTTAAGCCAGTTAAATCCCAACAGCCAATCAGCAAGGAGAATAGAGGAAAGCTGCATGCCTATTGGTTGATGCCTTGCATGCCATTGTGATGACTCATGTCCAAATGTGGTAAACACTGCACACTTACACAGTAATACATTAGCTATTACACAGCCAAAAAACTCAAATAAAACCATTCTAAAAGCCTGTATCACAATAATTTAAAAAACGCCTAGGGGTATTTGCCCACTGTACCTCCATACCAAATTTCAGGACCTTAGGCCCTAAAATGAAGAAGCTGAATCCATTTAAAGATATGGCAGGAGGAGGAGGAGAAGGAGGAGAAGGAGGAGGAGAAGAAACATCAGAAAAAGCAATATGGTTTCACCACACCACTTAAAC